AGAGAGAGAGAGAGAGAGAGAGAGTCTACATCTCCATTTTGTTTCTAAAAGAAGCTCCACAAATAGTACTAAAATGTTTTTAGTAACTTTAAGATGATAAGTTCAGTTGGGAATAACTGATTTTTTGTTTGGTAATCTTCATACTACAAATACCAAAACACTTATTATAATAAACAAATTATACCGCATGGTACATGGAAAAAACATTCCGCACAACAGTACAATTTCAGGTTTAGTAATCTTCATAAACAAGTAAAGTGACAAAGTGGTAGTGTGAAATTTTTGCGTGGCCATACAAATTCTGGAGCTACAACGACTAGATGCTGAAAGTCAAGGATGCGTGAGGGTTGGCAGCTCGCTGGTTTAATGCGTGAGGGCTCGGTTCAATGCCCCTCCCCTGCCTTGCATGCCATTTACTGCGCGTGTCAGGTGCAAAATACACGGCAACACCGAGTGGTTATACGAGTGGTTAAAATTCTTATACGGCTCACGCGTATTCAAACTGCACGAATCACGCGAGGACATGCAGTGTGGATACCAGACGCGCGTGGCTGCATGTCCACTCGCGATTATTCGATGTCCAAAGCATCAAACTACTTGGTTTTGAAGTAATATGAAACTAGAGATGTTTCAAAGTAAATATTTTCATATCCAGCTTGGAACATCATTAGAAAAAGATGAACCATGGTTCTGTGTTTGACAATGGCATGGTGATGTATTCAATTGCCTATATTAGATATTATTATATGAGAATGGCGTTTCGGTGCACAGGAGCATCTGCTCCCGCGGATGAACAGTAAAATAAAAAAACTAGAAAAAAAACAAATATGCAAAAGTTTTCTAGGTGTGTGCAAAATTTCGTGGAGTGATGACATCAGAGGAGTTCTGGACAAAAGAAAAAAAATCGGAGTACTGAGAAAGGTTCAACATTTTCTATTTTGGAACACTGATTTTGTTTTTTCTGTCACGAGAAAACAATAAACTCTTTCTCACAAGCTACCCATTAAGAAGGAAGACACCCGGAAATTAAGAAAGGGAAATACTACTGGTTTGAGAAACGAATACTGGAGGAGCTGGTTTCTACAGCCCAGTTATCATATGGATTAGTTCAAAACTGACATAGGTATAAAAATATATTTGATAATAAAAAATTAGATAAGGCACAGGCCCTTCCAGTTTTTACCAGACCCACTGGTAAGGTCAGTACTGGCCAATACAGTTTTCACTACTTAAATGTTGTGATAACATAGTTCATTGTATTAACATCATGTAAGCAAAGGCACAACATTTGAAACAAAATTGTAGTTCTCA